AACATGCCACAATCGAGAACCTTCTACGAACAGTAAACATAGCGCCTTTAAGCAAGACATATCCCGATCATTTTAAAAAATATACTCGAGGACAAGAATGAAAAAACCCGAGGAATAAGAAGAAGTAACAGACATGGCTACCGTTTCGGAGATTTATTTCGGCGTTAGCAAAGAAACATGTCTAAGAACAATTGGCAATACCCGTTCTACATACTTATGTTTAACGTTTTTGATTTAGATAAAATACCAACATATTCCGACGATTTAAAACCCCATCAACAACTTCAGATGAATATCTAGTCACTGACTGTTATTATCATTCGTTTCGTGTCAGGTTAGGTCCTGTTTATTAGAAACTCTTTTTATGCGACGTATGGCAAACAAATACACTACTTAAATTCTTATTTCCTCTACGTATAATATTTTTAAAATGGGAAGCCTACGCAAGATGGCAATATTTCCATTCAAAGATTATGGAAACAAATGAACTAACCGGAAAACAAAGAACCCACGGGTTAAATTCTTTGCGTAACAATTTTGAAAATCATTGAATACGAGTTATAAAGATGGTAATCATTGATATGTACAATCTTTGCCGTATTTGTGAGCCAAGTAAAGCGAAAATCTATAAGTTCAAAATAAGATGTTTGAATGCTAAATTTAGCATTAAGTTCGAGTTTCAGTTCTAGTTTTAAGAAATTTCCATAAAAATTGCAAAGCTATTCGGATTTGCAAATCCATCCAGTCAAACTTTTGCTATGAAAATTTGCGCTCAGTCTAAAATGCTAACATCCTATATTCAAATTTACATATTGTAGTATTGACTTTCTATTTACATCCCGCATATATCTATATACGTACAAAAGTGTTCCAAAGTGCTTGATTTAGCAACTCATTTCATTAGAGGTAAAAATATTTCAGAATTAACTTTTTAATGATTAGAACTATTATAAACTATTAATTAGGCACTCTAATTGATTCAGCGGAAACTTTACTTAAATGCGTGTAAAATACGTTATAGGTATAGGCCACTTTAAACTGTAAGCATTTACTAATTTAAGAAAACTAAAAAAAATGACGCAAGAGAAAAAATACCAGCAGCACTACCAACACAGCTCTTAGACGTAATATGACGCCGACATTTATCATTCGAATATCAACTCGCTTATTGTCAAACTATCAATCGTACTTGCAAAGGTCAATCATATTCCTGAATTGTTGAATTTATGGATTATTATCATCCACGCTATGAGAAAGAGTCTCATGTAGGTTCTTTTACAATCTGGCCTTGATACGCCATTTTCAATTACGTGATTACTTCTTTCAGACGAATGCGTACTTTTCTTTGGTGGTTCCAAAGTGGACAACCCTAGTGATTTACCGTTAACTTGTGCGTTAATTAAAAAATCGTCGTCTTGATCTTTTTCCGCTGAACCGAGTTGATCGTTGTAGTCTTCTTCGTCAATTGATACGGAGTAGGTGTTAGTTGGCCCAGGAATTTCTGAAATCAAAAATATTGACCATGTACAAGAACTCAGCATTAAATCTAAAATTCAATAATTTCTGTTACTATTGTATTTATATTACTTCTACTGTACATATATTTATTACCAGCCATACTGAAGCGAAAATTTGCAAAAAAACGTTGGTATAAATCGGAATTTTATGTTTTTTTTTTATTCAAAAGAAAGGGAGTAAAATGCTTCATGAAAGCATAGACGAAACATAACCCAGATAAAACATGTTAGTCCGAGATTCTGTTTCAGAGCAATAAGGATTAACAGCAATTACGCAACCAGCTCTTTGCAGTGAACACTTTCTGCAAAAAATTTAAATATCGAAAATGAACCTGGAGATCTCCGAGTGGAAACATTGAAAATGCAATGGATTTGAGTATAACAGACAAAACAAATATAGTAATATATATTAATGTACTGAATAAGGCAATAATAAATGGCGATCACAAAACGGCCAGGGCAAAGATGCAAAAAAACCATGTAGTCAAACCCCAAAGGCACAAAAGAATGGACATACGTTGCCAACAAGGTTGAGTACCAGAGCCATATCCCATAGACCAAAAGATATAGAATAACGAAAATCTAGATGTTGTGGAACGAAACGAAAAAATTGTGAAATCTGTAAAAGTTGATATTAAGAAACACTGCTTAAAACCTAATATTGGAAGCGAGAAGCTCAGTCACTGAGCAAGGAAAATCTTGAAACCAAAGCATGAAATCCGCAATAAAGAAAACCCTGTAAATAGACACACACTAAAGCAACTTTTCAATGACATAGCGAAAGTAGTGAGGCAAGATGTAAGAAAATACAACACAGAAAATCATGGAAGAGAACAAAATAATGAAAGTGTGGAGACGTAAAGTGGCAACAGGTTGAAGAGTGTCAGTCACAAACTTAAGAGACAAGATAATAATTATTTACTTATTTTTTATTTTGTTCTAAATATAGTCAGGAGAGAGTGCATGAGGAAGTAGAACAAATGGCGATTGAACAATCTGAAGACCTGCCAGAGATAACAACCGCAGAAGTAAATAGCGCCTTAGAGAGGTGAATTACAATAAATCCCCAGGATTAAATAGTAATTGTAGCCGTAAACTAAGGTGGCGATAATCTGATATATACAATAACAAAACTCTATAAAAAGTGTCTACCAAATGTAAAATTCCAACTATCGGAAATAACGCGGTCATTAAAATAATGTATGAAAAAGGAAATACGGCAGATCTATCAAACTATAGACCCATAAGTCTACTGCCTCACATTCATAAACTCTTTGTAAGAATGCTAACAAAACGCCTAAGTAACAAATTAGAACTTTCACCTACCAGCCAAGAGAGCAGGATTCGAGACAAATGACTCATTGCAGGTAATTAAGGCACTGATGGAAAAATGCCAGCAACACAATAAACCACTAATGCAGATCTTTCTTGACCATGAAAAGGCGTTTGACTTCATAGACCAGGAGAAATTGCTAAAAGCACTAGCAGACTGCCGATAGACTCTAGTCAAATACTGTTGATAATAGAAATATTCCCAAACTATAAAATAAATACAGGTCCAGGCTGCACCAGAAATACAGCTCCGCGATTATACTAATAAAATCAACATTAAGAGAGCGTAGTGCAAGGAGATACAATTTTCCCAAGACGATTTACTTTACTTTTACAATACATTTTCAAGAAGGTGAACTGGGACAATTTTGGAACAAAGCTAGAGAGAGAGACAGAGAGAGAGAACAAAGCACAGGGCAGCTAGACCAACTACGCTTTACTGATGTCGTACTAATTACCGACTTACAAAACGACGCGTAAAGTATATCATCGATATCAGAAGTTTCCGATGAAATTGGGCTAAAGATTAATATGTCTCCAACCAAAGTTATGATAAATTTGAGAGAATCGAACCTGTCAACTAGAGAGGAGGATCAACCTATCATGGACAGTTTTGTGTAAAATCTAACTAGTTTTCAATTCCAATACACCCATATGCCTTAAAACAAAAGTGTTCGACACGTGAATTCTACCGGTGCTGACATATGGATCTGAGACCTTAACACTCAACCCACAAATGCCCAACTCTCCAACCAACAAATCAGAAAAATATCACACCTAACAGATTTGATTGACAGAATAACTTTTTCAAAATGGAATTGGGCGGGTCGAGTAGCAAGGATGGAACATAATAGACGGACTAGGAGTATATTATAATTTTCTAGTAAATTTTCAAATATCTTTATAGGAAAATAACTCAACATATGCTCAAGTTCGACGGTGTCGGCATAAATAGTGAGAGTGACATTTTAAACACATCACGTCGTTTTTCAATTTTCGTGCTAATGTAAATTTAACCAAATGGCATTATTTTGCCCATGCAAAATGTGCATTCCCCAAAGAATGGGTATCATTGTTAGTCAATCCTGTATAGGAATACGTTTTGTTAGACAGGTTAAAATTTTAGATTAGTCCCCATTCCCAGAGAAGCAAACTAAATCAGGATATGTTTGCAGAAGTGCAGAGCAGGCTTGTGAGATTTAAACAATAACATACCTTGAATTTTGGTATATTGCACCAGAGTTTGATGCTTATTAACAGTCAATATAAGCGCCCCAAGAAATCAATCAGTTAATAATATACTGGATATATAGGGCTGTACTAAGAAACAAAAATTGGGCTCTAGCGAAAATTACATTTAAAAAAACGAACAAAGGAATATTTCAGAAACCTCAAAAATGAATCATGACAACAATGGGAAAAGGAGGCCTAAAATCTAGTTATATCTTAAATGGATCTTCATGCGATACATATTTGATTCGTAGCTTTGTACTTAAACAACTCCTAATAAATCCTAAATACTTTCTTAGGTTCGGTATTCGTTTCGGTAAATTATATGCGCACTGGCAGCAGAATGTAGGAGCTGTCAGAATGTCGGAAACGTCCTCACTTTGGGGGTAGGAATAGTTTCAACGACGAAACTGAGTTCACTACGCATGGATTATCTAGCCATAGGTATAGTTGTTGAATAAATAATCGACGTCAACAATAAGCTAGATTTATTTAATGATCCAGGCTTCTACATTTTTTCTAGTGTGTTGATAAAGGTCTAGTTTTCTTCCTAATTTTTGATATTTGTTGACGCAACACCCACTAAACTTTAATGGAATGATTACCCATCTTATAGACAAAAGAGAACACGAAGTCACATGAAACTGTTTGTTGTTAAACAGATGGTGTAGATGTAATAAGTTTTAATTATCTTAGTGTACTATTTATCATATCAATTGTTAATTGCTAATAAATGTAAGTTTTAAGGTTTAAAGTTGAAAGGTTTATAATTACATATATTAAGACATAATATATGTCTGACCCTCCATTTGACTCCACATTAGTCACTCCTCTTCTAGGCACGTTAATTTTTTAAGATATTGTCAAAGCTTTTGAATAAGCAAGTGTTTGGAAGAAGTGAGAAGCAAAGAACCGGAAGAAGTGATGAGCGGTCTTGTTCGTGCAAGCATAGTCTTGGTCTTGGCCTTGCAGCAAGAGTTTTGCAAGTGTTACTTTTAGGGAAGCCGTAAAATTAGACAAATTTGATTTAATATCAATAATAATAACTAAATTATTATGAAAATCAATACGAAACAGTTTAAAAAAATTAAAAATATTGCCATTTCAATTAGTTTAATTATTTTGTAATTTAAAATTGCTTAGAAGTCGAAAAAAGCCTGTGAACGAATACATTCAAACTAAAAGCGTGTCACTGCACAACTGGGAGATATATTTTAATAACCTTTACGATAACAAAAAAAAACAACGATGGGAGAAGAGGAGGCAGAAAAGAGGAGGGCCCAATGTCATTCACGGAAGAAGAAGTAAAAAACTGAACAAAAAAGCTCAAAATAGAAAAGCACCGGCTGTGGTATATATACTCAACGAACTTCTAAAGTTTGGGGGTAATGAAAAAATTGTATAAATTTTTCAGTTGTAAATCTGCATCTTGCGCTGTAGCCGTTTTCAGCTTCAGCAGTCAGTTTTAGGCTTTAAACATCTTTATATCTTCATTTTATAGAGATTAGAAGAATTAACGTAAACGTTTTAACGAAAATAGATGTTCTTGTAATTGGAACGACTAGTCGATATACGCGCGACGCATTTCATGGCAACACTTAAGATTCCACGTAGAAAAAAATATCATACACTCAACTTTTTGAACGTGCAAAGATTTATAAGCTAACAAATGTTTTGAATACTTTCGATAAAATTCCTATCAGAAAATTGCTTTTCGAAGTTATTTTATGAGATTGATCCCTCATAGTATTCGGTTTCCATTTTCTAGAGCACTTTATAGAAACTAGTTGAAGTAGGTACATATGAACATTTTGATTAAATGTAAATATTTTCCAGCACTCAAGGAAGTGGGACACTTTAAATGAATGAAAACAGTTATTTCAATTGCTTCAGATTTAGGATAGTTATGTTTGTTACATTGCTTATTTGAAAATTCAAAAAGAAAGAAAGCAGCCATTATTTTCAATAAATTTATGTCTTCGATTTAAACATAACATCTACTAAAAATGTTTATTTCGAGTTTTCTGCAAGATGCTTGCTTGTAACTAGCGGTCTTTTATAACTCTCCCGGGGTTTATACATTACGAGGCTCCCACACATGTTTTTTGGTCGCTACGGTTTATAAGTGAATTCAGGCTGAATTGGGATTGGTTGGTGGCGACCTCTGTTGTTAACCCAGAAGTGGCATTTTTAAAATTAGCTTCGTTAAAGTCTAATAAGCCGAATTTACGATCGCTGCATGCTTCAAGTTACTAGGCACGGACGGAATTTGATATTCATCAGTTAAAACACAGTTCTAATTAATTAATTAATAATTAAATATGAAAGCATACCTTGCAGATTGCGCGCTGTAGCTATTTTTGAAGAAATAACACGAAATCTTTTAGATAGCCGTACGGACGGTGTTCTGATTGACTTTTACTAGAACAGGAACTGAACAGAAACTGAACAGAAACTGAAAAGTTACTATCAGTAGTTTAACTAACTTACGTTTAAACGAAATAAACTCAGTCTCAACATGATACGAAAAAGAATAGTAAAATGCATTTCCTATTAAAAATCTTTTACAGAGCTGATTTTTTACCAATTTTAATTTTGCGTCTCAATAGTAAAGTTAAGTTCAAAAGGTAGCAGGTGTAGGATTATAATACGTCACGTTTTAATTATTTTCCTGCGTTTCGACCTTTGCTGATATCTTCCTCAGTTCTAAAAGAGGAAAAAGCAATAATTTAAGGTGTAGAGAAAGTTAACGCTTGACAATAAAATAGTTAGTTGAATTACTTTCATAAAATAATAAAAATAGTTTTTGGGTTATATTTACATATTTCTTTTACAATTAAGTCAACTTTCTTTCCTCCCTAATTTTTTTTTCTTTTATTTCTTCAAAATTTAAATTTAGTTTTTTTGCTGGTTTAGCTTTGAAGACCTCAATAAAAGTTCACATCACATCGGTAAATAATTAAAAGGGGACGTTGCCATTATTTTCCCACACCTGCTATCTTTTGAACTGATTTGTTTCTTTCCCAAACATCCCGCAACATAATATTTTTCCTTATCTTTCATATATATTTTAACATAACATTAATAATAATAAGAACAATAGAACAGCGAACAATATTTGAAAAAAAAGATATATTAAAAATTAATATTTAACTGCTGCCCCATTAGCATTTAAAACTAAATTAAGACGTGTGGGCATAAAACGAATGAGTCTTTGTGTATTCTGGTGTTAGCTCATCCCAGGCATCTTCAATTTTTTCCATAATTCATAAGGGTTTTGAATCCTAAGTTTTTCTCTATAGATCTGCTTAGTTAGGTATTCGCACACATTCTGTATTTGATTTAAGACCTACCGCTGTTCTGATGTTTTTTGTATATGTTTCATGTTGAATTTGGAGACCGGAAGCCTAGAACTTTGCCATTATGTGAGGATTGAACACTTTGCCGCTAAAAATCGCAAATTCTTTACAACTTTCCTACTGCTACTTTAAGCTAAAGCTTGAGTTTGACCTGGTGCCAAACTTTGTCGAATGCCTTTGACATATCTAGGAAGACGGCTGGATCCTAGATTCTGTCGGCGGCTCAACCTTTGGAGGATTTTAGTTGTTAGTCGGGCGGTCAGTGTGTTCGTGCCGTGGCCCGGCCTGAATCCATGTTGCTCATGCAGCAGCACTTTCTTGTCCTCTCCATAAGCTTGCCCATTATCGGTAGCAAGTTGATGGGCCTGTTGGACGGGAGGATTTTTCTTTTTGCACCACTTTTAAGTACCAATACCACCATTGCCTTCTTCCAGGTGGTTGGGAAGTACTGGAGGTCCAATATTGCATTTGCCACTGTAGTAAGATCTTCAATTGCTGCTGTCGGTAGTTTTTTGAGGACCTCATTTGAGATATCATGTCCAGGGGCCTTTTTCCTCTTCGTTTTCCGGAACTGGGCGGCTACTATTTTGTCCACTTCATCTTCTTGTTTTGGGTGATCAAACCGGATTACTCTGTATTGGAGCTCTAGATGGTTGGCAGAGAGTTCCACGTTCGCTTTGGGATCCACAGTGGTGATACCGTTTTCTTTTATAGGTGGCATTGGCTTCCTTGGTCCTGCATTAAGGTTCTTGGCCAGTTTCCATATCTCTTGGCATGACTCGTCGACCTCTATTTGGTTCATGCGGGTATCCGAGAGATGCGATTAAACTTTCTTCATGTCTTCTCTGATCGCATTATGGAGGCGGTTGACTTGCCTTTTTAGATATGGGTCTTGTGTTCGCATGGCTCTATGTCGAATCAGGGTTTTCTCCCTGAGTTTGGCTTTTAACCAGGGAGGAGTGGTTTGGCTTGCTGGAACGACTGATAGACTTGTTGAGGCTGCCAGGCCGTTCTTGATTTGCCTGGTGAGTTTTCCGAGTGCCTGGTCCAGGTTGTCCTCTGTTTTGGGGTGAGGGATCCTGCTGGAGCCTTCCAATATACACTAAAAAGTCTGCCATTTGGTGACCCTGTTAGTCGCAGTGATGCCATTGACTTGGTTTGGGCCAATTTGCATGAGTATGAACAAACGGTCCGATGATAGTTCCTGAAATACTTTGGGACTGGATAGTCTTCCTGTGTTCTTGTGCAGAAATATGTCCAGGATGTCGTCGCTGCCATGATGAGCAATGTGTGTTGGCTCTAGGGGTGCAGCTATCTCAAACATTGCATTTCTGGCTTTGTTTGAAAGCATTTTGTCTCTCTTAGTGTTACAGTTGCATCCCAATTGGTGTTTTCGGTTGATAGGTTTTGTCAGATTTAATTACATGTAAACCAACTATTATTTAACTCTAACTAAATTAATTTAAGAAATATGCAATCTAAACGCTATCATTTTCTTAAAATTAATCGAATTATTGTCAGTTGTTGAAATAATACATTAGTTATACGTTACATGTTTGAATATGAAATCTTCTATTCACTATTCAACTATATTTTCATACTTAACGTTCTATGGATTTTCTATTAAATGAAATGCGTTGCACCCGAATATTGATATGACTCCCTTAATGCCAGTTTAGGAAATTCCAAACATTAAATTGCTTCCAAGTTTCGACACTTTATATGTGATTTGATCCTTCAAGGTACCTATCCAATCTGGATATAAACACGTAATAAAAAGACGGTAAACTGCAAAGATGTTATTAGCAAAGGCCTGAAGTCGTGAATGAAATAGCATTTTAACTCTTACAGATATCACGTTCCATTTTGCGGCAATGCATGTAATAGTATGTAACATACGATGAGTTACTTGAGGCTTTCTGACTATTTACTTACTTAACTTTCCGAATACCCCAAATTGTCGTCTGGTGCTTCAAGGGAGTTAATCAGCTAATATGAATACGATATTCTTTGAGAAATGTACCTAGACTAAATCGTTGCTTAACAAAAAGAGTTGTATTTCATTTCAAATTATTAAGAAAAGCACTGAAATTCAGTTTGATAAAGATGTTTAAATAAAATATATTTCGAACAGTTTTATATAATGTGCGAGATATTTAATAGTCTTCCCAACCGATGTATACACGGCAATTTACGTAGACCGTGTATTAGAAGTTTTCCAACCTGCCGTTATTTTGGGAACTTCAAATTTTGTTTCCGGTCATAACGAGTCGTGCCGAAACTACGTAAATACATTTAGCCCTCTATCTATACAGCGTGTACGAAAACTATAACCTAACTTGCAACCTTAGCATTGAAAATAAGAATCAATTCAAACCCTTAATTTCTTTAGCATGGTTGGATTGGCATTTGATTTGCGAATTTGGGCAACCGTAGTTTTGTTGGAACTATGTAAGTAAACATTCTTCAAGGAGTTAGCCAGGACGGTATCCTGACACCGCGATATTTAATCTCTACTCGGAGAAAAACTTTAAAGAGGCCCTTGAAAATTCCCAAATAGGAATTATGCTGAATGGAGAACGAATGAACAACATCCGATGCGCAGATGATACTGTGGTTTTCACTGACAACATGAACAACTTAGAAGAAGTAATGAACAAAATAAAGGACGTCAGCAGTAAATATGGCTTAGAAATTAACATTAGTAAAAGCACATTTATGGTAATCAGTAGAGAAACTGGTGGAAGGTACGACTTAACGATCAACAACACACCAATAGACAGAGTAACAGTTAACCTATTTGGAAACCATGATCAATGATAATTGGGACCACTCACAGGAGATCCGGTGTAGAATAGAGAAACCAAGGGCCGCCTTCAACCAAATGGCTAAACTGTTTAAAAGTCACAACCTCAACATCGACATCAAAATCAGACTTTTCCGATGCTGTATTTTCTCGGTTCTTTTCTATGTGCTGGAGGCATGGACATTAATCGAGGCAACACAAGAAAACTCGAAGCGTTCAAAATGTGGTTTACAAAAGGATGCTGAGATGATGTCATGGGTGGAGAAAGTGACCAACAGAGCAGTGACGGTGAGAATGAGGAAGAATTCCATGAAGAGAAGAAAGCTTGAGTACCTCGGGCATATTATGAGACACAAAATCAAATATAAACTCTTCAAGTCCGTCCCCCAAGGGAAGGATTATGGCAGAAGACGACCACGACGAAGGAAAATATCACGGCTTAAAAATTTAAGAACGTGGTTCTCAAAAACTACTACCGAACTATTTAAAGCAGCCGTGAACAAAGTTATAATATCCAGGATGATTGCCAATAGTGAGATCGAATAGATTTCAAGAAGAAGAAGACAAAAAGTAAACTTATCTTTCATTGTTTTTGATATGTGCATGTCAATTGTTTGAGAAAAAAATGCCAACGGTTCTAAATTAAAAACCCAAATTTAGTAAGTAGTTGCTGTAAGCTCAAACTAACTCCCCATATGACATTAAGGTATCCATTTAATAACATTGCCTACAAACAATGATATAAAAAATGTCAAAACATTAGTTTTTTTAAATAGCATCTACTAACTTTTTTGGTGGTTGGTAAATAGATTTTTTTATATTTATGTTAATATGTAAAACTTCGAATAGTGAATCACAAAAAAATTGTACGTATTGTCCTCAATGAAATACAGACATATGTTGTCATAAAATATGTTGTGCTGTAATTGTAGCAATTAATACTCTTTCTACGAAATATACAATCTTAACCAGTACTATGGCGCAAATCATTTTGAAATGTCTACTTTAATAAAATTTTACACATTAGCATGTGTCTGAATAACAATACAAGACAATATTATTTTGCTGACCAAATGTATGAGTAGAGTATTACCGTATAAGCGAGTGCTGCTTTCAACTTCTCCCAATGAGTTCTTAGCGATGCATCTGTAGGCACCATAGTCTTCCGCTTGTAGGCTTCTGATAACTACCAGCATTTTCACTTCGAACGCTGATCTGTTTATAACTTTCACGTCATATTTTGTACTGGACACTATCATTTCACCTGCAACAGAAAATTAATAATGTAATAGTTATTTACGTAACCAGTAGGATATTAATGTTATTAACGCACGCATAACGCAAGTGGGTTAATAATATAGAATCCTACGTGTTACGTACAATATTTTATCTACAACTATAACGATTATTATTTTAATGATTATTTGAGTAAAAATAATCATTAGCAGCGAACGCCAGATACTCAACTTAACAAGCAAGAAAGGATTATTAGTATATTTTAACAAAGTAAGCAAAATACATAAACTCTCATTCCTATATACCCATGTATACCTATAGAACAGTTTTAACGTGGTTGTAACGCTGCCCTGTACTAAAATCATTTGTGAAATTTGTACAACTTTGTCCAAATCCAAAATATCCAAAAAACATAGTTTTTGATTTAATCGTTTTGTTTGGGCAAACTCAAAAAAGAGTTAATACAGTCCATGGATTGTCTAACGACAACATTGAAGATTAAACAATGGGTTGTTAGAGCCGGATTAGTGAACAGAAAAAGTGCGAGAAAAGAAAGTGCTATTGAGAAAATAGAACATGGGTAAGTCCGGAATTCTTTGCATCCACTGTTGATTTATTCCTATAATATCCTTGCACGAGAGTATTTTTTACTTTTTTTCTGCATATAATATTTTGAAAAGAGATTTTAAAGTAACATTTAATTTCTTGATCTATTGAAAATGGCTTTAGTGGAAGATAAAGATAAATTCACAGAAGTCAAGATTGACTTCATTTAAAAAGCATTTAAAGCCATTCAATCCTGAGACGGTTTTAAGTGATGCTGAGATTGGTGAAATTCAAGATAGGTTGAACAAAATCGAATTAGTTTATTCAATGTTCGAAAACTGAGAAGAAGAAATAGAATTGCTGTCAGCTGATGATAAACTGGAAAGTCAAAATATTGAGCGTGAAAATTTTGACAATGCATATTTTTCGATCACTTCTAAAGCATAGGCTATGATTAAAAAATATCACATGGACGACAAAATGATTCTTTGTCACCAATACAAAAGTCTTTTTATTAATTAATTAGGTTGGAAACTAAGAGTTTTGTTACAGAATCCTACAGCGCAAATTAATTGTTCTTTAGATTTTTTTGCGGAAAATTATAACATAGCTTGGACCGCATTGTGTGAAAGATACAATAATACGCGTTTGTTAACGCACATGTATATCAAATCTTCGAAATCAAAATCGAAATCTTAGAAACGGAATCGGTAGAAAAACTTCGGTCTTTGGAGGATAGGGTGCCAAAACATTTGGGTGCCTTAACTGTTCTAAAAGAGGAGCCACAACATTGGGATACGCTAATTGTTTATTTGGTGAGCACTAAATTAGATTCCGTCACAAATCGTGAATGGAAAGAATTTAACAATATTAAAAATGTGAAGCTATGGTGGGATGATTTGAAAGGTTTCCTAAAGTCACGTTGGGACTTGCTGGAAAATTGAAAACGACATAAAGTGGTGCCAGTTCATAGCGTTTCGGAAAAATTGACGATGTGCAGCGAGAAATGTAAACGTAATGCTACAAAGGGTTTGGTAGTTAATTAAATAAAATGCGCATTACGTAAGGTCATTTTCCCCCATTTTATTGAAAATTGCACGACGCTGACAAATTTGCCTCTAAAGGACAAAGTGTTAAAAGTGTAACAGCTTAAGTTGTGCTTAAATTGCTTGAAGGGTGGACACTTTAGCAAATATTGTAGGGGAGCACCATGCACTAAATGCAGAGAAAGGCATAACATTTTGCTCCATTTTGAAAATTTTTGTTCAATTGGTGACAACCATCACACAGAAAGCAAAGCAAGAGGATGATTGTCCGATAACTTTATCTTCCTCCAACTCGAACACAGACGCATTTCTCTACACCGTTTTCTTGAAGGCACAGGATGAAAGTGGCATATGGCATGTTGATCGTGCACTGTTGGATTCGGACTGCCAGTCCAGCTTCATTACAGAGGAATTAGGGGAAAAGCTGAACTTGCACAAGGAGAAATTTAATACTTGGTCAAAGTACCTCTGAGGTCACATATAAATGCGAGATACTTCTAAAATCTTTGAACAGGGTTTTCAGCGCGAACTTGAATTGCCTGAGTCATCCAGAAATAACCAGTCGGATTCCTGACGTTCGAATCGTCGTTGATCGCTTGAATATTCCTGAAAATATCACGTTGGCTGATCCATATTATGTAATCTATGTAAAATAGGCATGTTAATTGGAGCCGAGTTATTTTACCCACTTTTATGTACTGGGCAAATATCTTTGGGCAAGGCAAATCCTATATTGCAGAAGACTCTTTTTGGTTGAATCGTATTAGGGCCGTTGTGAATCGGAAGCGCAGGAAAAACTATTTGCAGTTTTGGTGTAAATAAGTCTTTGGTTGAATTTGACTTGCAAACATTATGAGAAGTACAGAACGATTTTTTGCACCTGAAAAGGTATTTGCCGATAGAAGAAGAACAGTGTGAATTGCTTTTCCGGCAAACATTTAAACGAGTTGCCTATTGTCGGTTTATTGTTTCGTTGCCTTTAAAGGATCCTGTGAGAAGTTAGGTGGAACGAAGGCTAAAGCCTGGCGCCGATTGATGTTCTTAGATTGTAAATTTAAGTCCAATCCTAGGTTTCAACCAGATTATGTGGAATTTGTGAATGATTATCGAGAAGAGGGTCATATGAGCGAAGTGGTGTTGAATGCGGAGGAAATACATAATTCTCACTATCTGCCACATCACGTTCTGATAAAGAAAAGTAGCTTAACCATTAGGCTGCGAGTTGTGTTTGACTGCAGTATGCCCTTATCGACCGGCAAATCCTTGAACGCTTTCAAATGATAGGGCCAGTTTTACAATCGGACCTAATTAGCATTTCAATAAAGTTTGGTGAAAGGCGTTTTGTCATGTCTGCCAATGTTGCCAAGATGTATAGGCAAGTTTTAGTTGATCCGTGCCAACGGCACTTGCAGCGAATTCTGTGGCGTGAAGCCCCTTCCGAGGAATGTGAACATGAAGTTTTACCTGAAATGCGCGCTATTAGGAGAACGCTGGTTTTGGTTTCGTCCAAATTTGTCTCAACCGCTTTTAATAGACTCTTTACTATGCCTAAATTACAACGGATTATAGCTTAGATTTTGAGATTGGCGGTTAATTGTAGTCAAAGTGTGAGAGAAAATAGGGGACTTCTATTGAAAAATCCTGTTTCGGTTTCGGAAATTTTACAGGTAGTTTTACAAGACTAGTTGAACTTAGCCAAATTGATAAGTTTTCCAGATAAATAATTTTGTTTAGAGCGGGTCAAAGCATTAAGTTAAGCAGAATATATAATTAAATTAAAGAAAAATATTGGATCATGTCTGCGCAAAACTAAATTAAGGCTGTAACAAGAAACTGCATACAGTGCTCTCGTCATGGGCCGCAAATTACGCATTCCATAATGTGATATCTTCCCGAAAGCGGATAGTGCGTAGGAAACATATTTAATGTTGTAGGGGTCGATTACGTGGGACCTTTGTACATCAAAGGCCGAAGGGCCGCGGCGCAAGGTTGTCCAAGTGTTTTGTGAGCATATTTGTCTCTTTTTCAACAAAAGCGCTCCATTTTGAGACTGCTTCCTCTTTGACAAGTGAGGCCTTTGTAACGGATTTTCGGCGATTTGTTGGGCGTCGTTGTAAACCTAGCCATGTATATTCCGATAACGGTTCAACGTTTATAGGCGCAAGTAGCGAATTGCCTGAATTAGGTCAGTTTTTGCTCGAAAACAATGAACAACTTTCCAATCTCTTCTCTCAAGATCATGTTGAATGGCATTTCATACCTGTTCAAGCACCACATTTTGGAGGTTTATGGAAAGCGGGAGTTAAATCAGTAAAACATCACTTAAAGCGCGTTGCAGGCAATGCTCATTTAACTTTTGAAGAGTTAACAACTCTTCTTATTTAAATCGAATCTCGACTTTGAACTCTCGACTCCTTACTCCTCTATCTACGGATCCTTATTCTTCTATCGGACTACGCTTTCTTATCTCCGACCCACTTTCTTATTGAACGCACTGCCATCGGACTGCAAGATCCTGATGTAAGACAAGTTCCCCAGCCCAGAGTTAGGTCCGTATTTATAAACGATGTTCAAACATGAGTCGAGTCTCAACTACGAGACATGGCTTCGATAGCGTTTTATAAACCATTCTCATGCTCAAACCAGTGCTCACAAGCTTCAAGTATCGGTCGACGGTGGCTTGCGTATTGCTTCTGCCCAGCCATTGGTCGAGCTTTTTTGTTAAACCGTCGAACGGTTTTTAAGGTTATATTACTGTTTATGTTATGTTTTTACATTTGAATTTGTTTATTTTAATATCGTGTACAATATAAGAATGGCGAGGTTTTGGAATATTTGGACGTAATAGAGGAGGGAATTAGCAAAGACCAACAAGTTAGTAAAAGATATATACGAGATGGCAAAAATCCTTTTGAGTTTTTTTCGGAAGTAGAATTTCGGAGAAGGTTTCGGTTTTCAAAGACCACTACTATTGAGGTGATATTACCTTTTTTAAACCAACCATTATTGAAAGCGGATAATCGTGGACTACCAATATCAAATATGACCCCTTACTCAATTGCTGGTATGTTTAAGATTCTATGCAACTAGTAGTTTTCTATTCTATAGATTCTATGCAACAAGTACATAACAAATTTTCTATGATTCCATGTCTACGTTCTTACATATAGTGTATATTATATTGTAGCTTGTGTCCGGTGATCTTCGTGATATAAATCAGTCTTCCAGTGATTCAAAATTTATAACAACATTGACGCCATCTTAGATTCGCCAAGTTCGCCAACAGTCCCAATGTAAAATTACCAACTAAATACGAAAGTCCTTAAAAACCTATAATCGACCGATACTTTGCAGAGAATACACAAAGTACTGTTTATAAATCGATCTCTCGGTTGAGCACGATCTCGTACTTGGCGAAGCATGAGCTGAGTATTGG